ATACTTAATCTAAGTTTTTCTATTTGTTTTTAATTTTTTTTGTGCATTTTGACCCATTTTTTTTAAGAAAAATCGACTTGACCGGTTAGTCCTGTTAACCACTCCGGTTAGTTCAGTTTCGGTTTGAACTACTCCTAGCCTCATGACCGTTTAACTATTCCGGTTCGATTTTGCGAACATTGGGTGAAACTCTACTTATTTTGATAGAATTGCGGCCCTATGAAAACATTTTCCTAATTTGAAGCTTTCCAATAATTTCATTTCACATTTATAATTGTACATTATATTGTTTGTGTCAAAAATACCTATAGAACTGTACACTAAACCAAAACCTAATGACTACGAAATATTAGTTGTACACTAGATTGAAAACTTAATTGTACAGTGAAGAGTGAGAAATATCTGAACCTTGTTAAAGGTTTGGAATGATTGATTGACTCTAGTACGATAATATCATATTTTGTACTCCCCGCATCACCATCCATTTTGGAAGGGTGATTAATCTCATGGCCAGACATGATTGACGTGTCCGAGTCAATTTATGAAGTGCAAGTCAAATGAAACAGATATATATCAAGCATGAGTCTGGTCTGAAAATAGACAGACTCTATTTTGAAAACTCCAGCGTGTCCTGTTCCCCATCTCATCCAAATATAGAATTTTTCATTTCTTTAAATGGATTGTTTACAAAGAGACCATTTATCTTTTGTACATAGAGGACACAATCATTCACACTCATTAGATATCAAATTCGATGGTTTGGATGAGTCACGAATTTAAAGATTTTTTTTGGAACTTTGTGTCTATTCAATGATACTCTTATAACCACCCATTTTGAAATTTAAGGGATAAGAATGTACAAAAGATAAATGGTCTCTTTATAGACAATCCCTTTTTTAAATAGAAGTTCTTTTTTAAAAAATGCAACATATCTATAGAATATATTTATTAATGGGGAATTGTTTTAGGGGGGTTGATGCCTCAACATTTCGTCCCCCACCATTAATATGTCAAAAGAAAAATAAAATGTATGTACTAAATATAGATTACAAGAATATCAGATATATTTAAAATTAGATATAAATTGTAACAATATATAAAAATAATGCACTGCATTCCTCAAAACACATACAGAATAAGCACTACACATGTGCGCTTAGTACTAAGTCTTGTGTGTTGTACACCATGCACAACACAGATCACTCCGTGTGTACTATTTATTTGCAAAGTGTAGGTGCATTTAGGAAAAGAGCCTTTGCTTAATTGGTTAGCGTTTGACGATTTGCAACGCTATGTCTTAGGCTCAATTCTTATCTATGTTAAGAAACACTTATGACGAGCGTTGTGCACCCGCACACCATTTAAGTTTGGTCGAACTTCAATATCCCTCAATTAGATAAAACATTGGATGCTCTTATGATGCTATAATTCTCTAACAGAAAAATAACCATTTAAGTTTGGTTGAACTTCAATATCCCTTAATTAGATAAAACATTGGATGCTCTTATGATGTTATAATTCTCTAATAGAAAAATAAAAAGTATACCCTATCCAAGAAGTTATGATGATTCATATGGGAAGTCTTTTTGTTTTTTTTGGTTTTTTTTTTTTGATAATTTAGTAGGGAAGACATGCCCCTACCCGTAGGAAGCTTTTTGAAGGTATTAGTGAGGTGGTATTAGTGGTCCACAAAAATACATAATTGATCCTCCAAAAATAGGCAATGGTATTCTACATGCAGCTCGGACATTGTAATTAAGTTTCCATATTTTTCTTTTTGCGATACCCAAATCATTGAATATGAGATAGGGGTGGCTCGGACATTGTAATTAATTTTCCATATTTTTCTTTTTGCGAGACCCAAATTCATTGAATATGAGATAGGGGCTAGAAGGCTATCCATATTTATAGCCCAAAAACAACTATTCTATGCGGTTTCTATGAGGCCTAGGCCTCATGAGAAAAAGCAAAGCCTGACTTCGAAACCTTATATGAGAAAATCTTCAGGTATGGGAAATCTTTATAATGACTATAAAATCTACTTCCATCATTGATCATAGGATTTGCAATTCAAAAAAGGGACTGATTTTGTAGATTTGTGAATACTTAAAAATAGATTTGCAATTCAAAAAAGGGACTGATTTCGTAGATTTGTGAATACTTAAAAATAGACAGTCTAGATGATGTGTTACAATAAAAACTATCTTTAAGATTTGAAATCCTAATTTTTTCTATTAGTATAATTTTAAGGTCAATGATGATTGATTAGAAGGTTTTTCGATGCTAGAACTACGATTCATTGTGTTTCGAGAAAGGCAATTTTTTTTGGGAAAGGTTTCTATACTTCCCCTACATCATAGAAGATCTATGTTTCACCTACCATCCAGCCATCCAATTTTAATCAAGAGCACCACTCACCGTTTGATCTTAGATCCGACATCTGAAAGTATTTTATTTTAAATTTTTATTATACAATTTGTATGTATATGAAATTTTGTACATTGCATCTTCTCATTGGGCTGCACCTATAAAAAATATTAAAAATATTTTTTGATAAAATATAATGACCAAAATACCCCTTGGAATTTTCAAGGGTATTTTGGTTATTTTATTTTATTGTCAATTTTTTTTTTTTTTTTTTACTAATGAAAGTTTAATAGAGGATTGGATGTACAAAATTTGGTGTCAAAAAAATTTATAAATAAAAAATAAAAAATAAAATAATTTAAAGATGTGGCATTGTGATTGGGACAATCTTAACCCCCTTCCAAAATGGACTGTTGGACTAAGTGGAAGCATATAAATTTTATGCGGTATGAGAAGCATGCCCATTTTTTTTAGGCCTTATTTTAACCAATTGCTTGGTAGAAACCTAAATGACCAAATTAGGTCTCTTAAGGCATATGAGAAATCCAGAACCCGCCGCCACTGAAGGGCAATTTGGTCTTAAATATCAATTTGTTTGGGCATTTTCGTCCTCCCCAGAAATCCAAATAGAATCACCAACCCGGCCCCCGCCCTAGAAATCTTTCGAGCATGCGCGCCCGCCACTCTCTCTCTAAGGTGTCTCTCTCTTTACATTCTCTCACCTCTCTCCTTTGTTTCGACGCCATTAACGGATCATCATATGATTGTATTTTGGGGTTTTCTTGCAGGCGAATCATCACCCATAAAACCCCATCTCTCTCTATCTACACCTGCATCCTTCTTTCTCTCCACTTCGCCATGGCTAATGAACTAGAACCAGCTCCAAATAATGAAACCCTATTCTGGGATTTTCCCTCTCATCCCCCTTCTCCAAAGCCATTACAGCTCTATCAAGGCCAACCCATTTGGCCTCTCTCCAATTCTGATAACTCCTCTAGTGAACCAGGCTTTGCCATGGCTTCAGCTAAAGGGACCATGGCGTCTAACTCGAATAGCCCCACTTCTTCGAAGCGAGCTATGGTGCAAAACCATGGAGAAGAGGCCAACCCCAAAAGAAAGAAGAAGAAGAAGGGGAAGCAATCTGAAGAAGAAGAAGGGGAAGAGAGAGAAGATCCTTCTTCTTCTGTTCCTGCTCCTCCTCGCTCTGGTTCGAATTCGAAGGCGACAGAGTCTGATCATGAGATACATATATGGACAGAGAGAGAGAGGAGGAAGAAGATGAGAACCATGTTCTCTAACCTCCATTCTCTGCTTCCTCAATTGCCTGCAAAGGTAAAGAAACAGAACCAGTTTCTCTCACCTTTCTCTTCTCTTACCAATAAAAATATTTTCTCTCACCTCTCTCTTGTTTTAGCTGGTAAATAAAATATTCAAATGATTAAAATATAGTATTTGAGAGAAGACCAAAAATTTATTCATTGTGATTTTGCTTCAAACAACTAGAATACAGCTAGAAATTTAAATGTTTGATTTAGCTTTTGTTCTTGCTCCTCCTCTCATCTCTCTCTACTTTCATCAAATTTTCTTTCCGAGGGTGTTGTATACGTTTCTCTCTCTATATATTTTTTTGTAATACAGGGTTCAAACTTCAAACCCATAACCCTAAATTTCAAATAAAATCATCTTCCATTTCAATCATTGGCTTGAAGACGTTTCTCTCTCTACTTTCATGAAGCGTTATTACCCAGAGAAGCTCGACCCGCTTCTCTGTAAAGTTTTTTAGAGAGAGAAGGGAATCCGTTTTTCTCTCTACTTTTTCCCTTAGAAACGCTTTTCTCTCGATTTTCATTATAACTTAGTAGGCAAACAGGTTCGACCCCTTTTCTCTCTACTTTCTCAAAGGTTTAATTAGACAGATATGACGTGATTTCTCTCTCTAAGATTTACAGACAGAGAAGCCCCCGTTTCTCTCTGTAATTTCATAAAAAACATTTGCAAAAAAACGAAGAGAGAGAGAGAAGATGATTTTTCTGATTTGTGTAGGCGGACAAATCGACGATCGTAGACGAGGCAGTGAACTACATAAAATCACTGCAGAAGTCTCTACAAGCTTTGCAGAAGCAAAAGACGGAGAAGGGTAGAGCTGTGGGCTCGAATGAGTGCGAGTTGGGCGCGCCCCGGTTCGAGTCGAGAGAGTCGTTTCTGGCGGATCAGGGCTCATCTAGGTCGTGTGTGGGCTCGGTCATTCAACAACCACCTGTGGCCTTTTCTCCTTTCTCTCCTTCTTCTTGCTTTCAGACCTGGTCGTCGCCAAACGTTGTGGTGAGTGTTTGTGGGGTTGATGCTCATATTGGGGTTTGTAGTGCGAGAAAGTCGGGGTTGCTGGCTGCTATGTTCTGCATATTGGAGAAGCATAGGTTGGAGGTGGTCTCCGCTCAGGTCTCGGCCGATAGGTGCCGCGCCATGTACATGATCCATGCTCGAGTAAGAGCCTCTCTCTCTCTTAGTTCAATGGGGATGATAGGCCTTTATTGGTTTTTTCAAATATTTTAAAAATTAGTTTTTTGAAATTATTAATAGGTGGTGTTGATAGGAATAAAAACCACAACATGGTGACTAGGGTGCATCTACTATTAAAACCGCAACCCTTTTCTTGTCGTTTCAGTAGATGAATCTAACTACACCATGATGACTAGAGTGCAGAGATGCTACCCTTACTATCGAAAGCCCTTTAATTTTTTTTTTTTATAAATCTAACCACAACATGATGACTAAGATAGGATGCGGAGGTGCTACCATTATGACCCAACCCGTTTCTCGGTCTCTTCCCATTACATGAATCTCTTTCACATGCATATCGGTTAATGGTGGAGGGGCCACGCAAGCAAGAATCTCTCTCTTAATGATGCATGTCATGCCGTATAGCCAAGAATCTGTCTCTCTCTATGAACATTATGAACGCCAATATAGGCCAAGCTCAAAGAGATTCTCTCTCACGCACACACCAATGCCTGATTATCTCTCTCTTACATACACATACATAAATTTGAGTACACGCTCATATAAAAAAGCATTTCTCCCTGCACACGCACACGCACACGCACGTATTCATCAAATTACAATTCATTTCTCTCTGTCAACACACACAAGCATATCCATCAAATTACAATCTTTCTCGCTATCTCTCTCACACATGCGCATGCACCTACACAACCTATTCATCATATATACATTCATCGCTCTTGCGCAAATTCATGCACGCACTCAAACATGTGCACAATTTAAGATTCTCTCTCTTTCTCACACACGCTCACACACATAAATGCAAGCACAGTAATTCAAGAGCCTCTCTCTCACATACACGCACTCGTTCACACACACACGCTCACACACAAATGCAAGCTAGAGTAATTCAAGAGCCTCTCTCTCTTTCTCTATGTTTATTTTACAAACGCAATAATTCTATGTCAAAGCCTCTCTCTCTTTCTCTATGTTTATTTTACAAACGCAATAATTCTATGTCAAAGATTCATTTTAAAACGGGTAAGGGCTTGCCACTTACCTCCGCAAAAAGGAAAAAAAAAAAAACACAAAATTCATTTTATCTAAGACCCAAGTTATCCTTCAAAAGAGAAAAAAAAAAAAACAAAAAAGGTGCATTTTACTTCTCTAGCTGTGAAAATTTTATTTCGAATTTCTGCTACATGTCACTGTTAGAGTTGTGTCTCTTTTCCTGTTTCAAATCTTATCCATAACGTTACAACTCAAGTTCACATTTTGCCTGTCTTTGAAGCAGGCAAATGGCACCGATTGTTTCACAGAGGCAGTTACAGTCGAAGATATATACAAGTTAGCCGTCGGAGAGATGATTTATTGGCTTTCATCATAATACAAATCACTTGTAAATCTTGGCTTTCATCATAATACAAATCACTTGCAACTCTCTCTCTCTCTCTACAGGGAGATGGTTGCAAGGAGTTTATTCTATGAGATCGGATGCCCCCCATTAAATTGAATTGGATTCTGAGCAAAGAAATTCAAAGTTTTATCAAAAAGGTAATTTGTTTTTCTTTTTTATGTTTCTTTTTTTCTTTGTATGAAGAAACTGAGAAAGTTCGAGCCAGTCCAAGTGTTTTTGTACATATTCATTGAATAGGGTTCTATTTCCTACGTCATTTCCGTTACTGGTCTGCTCTTTATTTAATTCTGATAAGGTAAGGTTTATTCTTATGCATTCATGGCTTCATGCAAAGAAAGTTTGATTCTTTCACTCCATTACCCACTAGCTTTGACTGCAATCCTATTTAATTTCTCATTATAATTGCCATAAATACTATCTCCATCGGATGTGAAGAAAATACCATCTCCATTCAGAGTCTAAGATTCTTCAGAAATACTGTTCCTTCTGTTGAAAAAAAAATCTGAGTTTAAAAGAAGCGTTTCTTTAATGGGGGCGTTACATTACATTGGATAAGGCTTATGGATTATTAATAAAAGTCCCAATAAATGGCAACTCTATTTATGGGCTATCAGTAAAATGGGGTAAGTTGAGCAGGGTCATGACTTATATGATTAGCATTAGATAAAGATTAGCTTTAGATAAGATTGGCAGTTTTTAGTGCATTAAATGTTCTTTTACAACTTAGATATGCACTGGGGAGCATCGCTACAACATGCTCCATATGTTTTTCTCTTTTCCCTGCATCTCCTTTCAAATGTTGAAGTGCTTGTGCATTATATGCATTATTTGTGGTTATAGGCCAACTTGTACATTATTGGGGGATAAATATACTCACTGCGGAGTATAATGCAGCAATGCTCCTATAAAAGTCAACACTTGTGGTTTCCGGTGGCAGGAGAAAGTTGAAAACATGATATCGAAAACAGAAAGTTGAAAACATCCATAGAGAGAAAATAAGGTTGTTAGGCCTGTGAGAGAAAGATAGGCTGATAGAGGTAATGAGAGGAAGAGAGTTCTGGGAGTACATTTTGGAAAGAGAAGGATGTTGTGTGGTTCTTTCATATTCATGCAAGTAGTGTTAAATGTGGACTTGTGTGTGTCCTAAGTGTGGGTGAGAATATGGTGAGTGATGTGTGCCATTTATTTGAGTTGTGGAGAGGAAAAGAAAGAAGTTTTAGAGAGAGGTGTTTGTGTGTATGTATATTTTATTAAAATATAATTTTATTTTTTCTCTCCAAAAAATAGTTTTTATTCCAAGTGTAAATTTCCTATTGTACAACTCTACAATTGGTATCGAAGCTTCCGAAAATCTCTACATTTGGTATTAGAGCTATTGGAAATATGGCCTATCAGGCCCTTTTATCCCAGAAATTTATTTTTCAATAATGGTACAAAAGCCATATTATAAAATATATGTGAAATCTCATGTGGTTGACATGAAGCAATGTCATATACTTAGATCTATTTTGGAGCTTTTATAGGATGTTGCACTGGAGGGAAAACCCAGTGTCACCGGAGGGAAAACCTAGTGATGTGTTTGAATTCTTTGTAAGAATTGTTCTTTTCTATACTATAGATGTACAAAATTATTTGATTTCTAAATATCTTTTATTAAATTGTAGGAATGCTTGGATGACATCCTATTATGTGAGTCATTAGTGCACTAATGACAAGTTTAGCTCATTATATAGGATTAACAATTTGGTGACAACTTATTAATCCTAATTGGCTGCACTTAAGGGAATTAAGGTAGGAGTTATACTTGGATCTCAACTCCTATAGACCATGAATATGAGAGTTACAAAAGATGGTTCTCTATAAAAAGAGGTTAACCCCTCAAATAATAGTACACAGAGAATGATGGAAAATTGGTGAAGGAGCTTCACTAAGAGGACTCTCAAGATAGCATGTCACCGGATGGCTTGGTCTATAAGTTTTGGTATGGATCCTTAAGTCCCTTGTATGATTTAAGAATAGATCCGAGTAAGTTGTTCATCGATTTTATTTATTTATGTATTGATTTTCATTATTGGGACTAACAAGAGCTTCACGAAATTCCTATAATTACTATAAGAGAGGGTTCGATCAAGGGGTCATCTTAAGTGAGCAGTGAGACACTATGAAGCCGATCAGTCGGAAGTTGAATTTCTAGGTGTTGAGATCGACATACGGTCACATCAATCATGGTGTACATGAGCAGTGAGATGCTAAGAAGCCGATCAGCAAGGGACTGCATTTCTAGGTGTTGAGATCAACGTGCGATCACACCAATCACAGTGTACATGAGCAATGAGATACTATAAAATCAATCGATCGGGAACTGAGCTTCTTGGTGGAAGAGATCAAAGTGCAATCACACCAATCACAATGTCAGATCTTGTAGGATGCCAAGGAAGACAGAGATCGAGAATGTAGTGACAATTGATGCACAACTATAGTCGCACGACGATGATGTTGACTAGGATGCGCAAGCGGGGAGTTGCTTAGGTTGTATAGACAACCTCGATCGGAGTTCACGATGACTAGGAGAAATCCCTTGCTCTCATCACGTTGGAGGTTGGTGAAGCCTAGCCTCATGCGAGAGAGGGCACGCATCATGTTGTAGGGACTGTGTGTCGCTAATGAAGTTGAAAATAGCATTATTGATTGTGTAGCCAATGAAGTCGCAGGAAATAGGGTCCATGATGGCTCTGTGGAAGTGTTGAGAAGTAGCAATTGTCACTCATGTCATCGGGTGATAAGACTTTGACGAGCAAGTCGATTAGTCCATAGAAGATAGACACATTGGAGGTTCGTGATGTGAAAAGTGAGTCACATATTCGAAGAAAACAAAATAAAGAAACGATTAAATATAATGCCAGAGTAAGCCAATGTTGTGGAGGAAAATTGTAAAAGTCAACATTGGTGGTTTTCGATAGCATGAGAAAGTTGAAAATATGTCACCGAAAATGTTAAAAATAGGTAAACCCTACGACGATGTTGTTGTACGTAAAAGCTCTAAACTCAAACGGTTGATTTTAGCAAATAAAGTACAAGAAAAATAGAAACAACAACAAGCAAGAAAAATAAAGCAGGAAAGAAATAACATAAAGAAAAAAAAACAACAAAATTTACGTGGTTCGTCACAAATGTGATTATGTTCACGGATGAAGACGATCGATGTTTTTCCACAAATCAATCGGAAAAAAATTACAAGAGACTCATACCTGAGAGAACCAGATAAGAAACCCAATGTCCCACAATGCATTTTTCTCTACAATTTTCTCTCTCTAGAAAACCCCAAAAATTTTCCCTTCTTTTCCTTGCACACCTTTTCTCTCTACAAAAGGAACTTTATCTAGAGAAAAGTACACCCCCAAAAAGTGGTATGTGATGGTCTCCTACAACATCCTAACTTTTATGGAGTATTGACCTTATCCAAATCTTGGTCTATAAGTCTGTTCTAATACAATAAGTATGAAACTACCTAAAAATAGAAGACCTAAGATAAAAGGAAACTAATCCCATAAAATAGGGATTCAAGGCATATCATTAACAAATCTCCACCATGGCTTGAATTCCAAAAGAGATTCTCATCGACCGTCTTCTCTATACGTGCCCCCACAAGCGCTCACATTGGCAATATATTAGTTAAGTTCAATCACAAGTTGAACTTCTATAATTGAACCGGCTTTGTCAATATATCCACAACATTTTTTTTGGTGTCAATATTCAGTAACAAGATATCACCTTCAACCATTATATCATAGATAAAATGGTACCTAACATCAATATTCTTTGTCCTTATATGATATACTTTGCTCTTCGCCAAATATATTGCACTCTGATTATCCCGATAAATAATATTCCCATCTTGTCGTAAGCCCAAATCACTTTCAAGTCCTCTAAGGCAAATGGCTTCTTTCATTGCCTCGGTTTATTCTGCTTCAGTCGTAGACAAGGCAATGGCCTTCTGTAACATCGATCTCCAACTGGTCAGAGTTTCTGCAACTATAAAGATATAACATGTAGTAGATCTCCTAAAGTCCAAATCACCTGCAATGTTAACATGAACATGACCAATAACCTTGTCACCAGACTTGTTATTTCTATCAAATACCATACCCACATATTATGTCCCTTAGGTAATGCAAAATCCATTTTACCACATATCAATGCTCCTTTAAAGAATTAGTCATATACTTGCTAACAACACTAATAGCATGAGAAATATCTGGACAAGTGCAAACCATTGCATACATGAGATTTCCAACTGCACTCCCATAGGAAACAAGTGACATGTATCCCTTTTCAGCATTTGAACTTAGAGATAATGCTGCTGATAATCTGAAATATGCAGTAAGAGGAGTAACCACAGGATTTCAATTTTCCATACTAAACCTAGTGAGGACCTTCTTAATGTATTCCTTCTGAAATAGCCACAATTTACCAAAGTTTCGATCTTTGTGTATCTCTATGCCTAAAATTTTATTTGTTGAACCTAAGTCTTTCATCTCAAAGTCTCTAGCAGGTTGATTCTTCAATTTATTGATTTTTGAATAATTCTTCGCAGCAATAAGCATATCCTTCACATGAAACAATAAATAGATAAACAAACCATAAATAAATCTTCTAAAATAGACATAATTATTATACTTACTTTTGAAATACTCGTGTCCAATCATGAATATATCAAAACGCTTGTACCATTGGCTAGGGGACTGCTTACGGCAGTATAATGACTTCTTTAGCTTACAGACATAGTCCTCCTTACTTTTAACGACAACTGAGTCGTATAATTTTGTTCTTCTAATTCTTTATAAAGGAATACAGTCTTGAGATCAAGTTGCTCTAAATCCAAATCAAACAATGCAACTATGGCTAATACTATCCGAATAGAAGTGTGTTTTACAACTAGAGAGAAAATCTCATTATAGTCAATACATTCTTTCTGCACATAGCCTTTTGCAACCAAATATGCCTTAAACCAATCGCTGCTAGTCTCATATGACCAATCTTTCTTCTTACAAACCCATTTACATCCAATGACTCTCTTGCCTTTAGGCAATATTACGAGATTCCAAGTACAATCCTAACTAGTGTTGATTGATGGAGATTGTATCATGTGTCTATTTAGTGCAATC